CTGGGTGACTGAGCGAAGGAAGACTAGAACGGCGAAGCCCACAGGTCACCACCAACCGCTTCACGTTTCTAATACATTTTCCCCTCTCAGCGATACACCCGCTGAGGAACCAACTCTGGTTATTGGCAGCTCCATAGTCAGAAACGTGAAGTTAGCGAAGCCAGCGGCCATAGTCAAATGTATCCCTGGGGCCAGAGCGGGCGACATTGAATCAAATTTAAAACTGCTGGCTAAAGATAAACGTAAATACAGTAAGATTGTTATCCACGTCGGCGGTAACGACACCCGTTTACGCCAATCGGAGGTCACTAAGATTAATGTGGAGTCGGTGTGTAACTATGCTAAGACAATGTCGGACACCGTAGTTTTCTCTGGACCCCTCCCCAATGTGACCAGTGATGACATGTATAGCCGCATGTCGTCATTCCACCGCTGGCTGTCGAGGTGGTGTCCAGCAAACGATGTGGGCTTCATTGATAACTGGAAGCCTTTTTGGGGAAAACCTGGTCTGATTAGGAGAGACGGCATCCATCCCACTTTGGATGGAGCGGCTCTCTTATCTAGAAATATGGCGAAGTTTATCTCTAAAACCTGACAGTCCAGAGTTAGGACCAGGAAGCAGAGCTGCTGTCTTACACACTCCTCTGCGCTTTCTTTAGAACAGTCACCCACCCAAAACCCCATAGAGACTGTGTCTGTCCCCCGACCACCTAAACTATTTAAAGAAATAAAAACAAGAGGAGTTCAACATAAAAATCTAATAAAAATTAAAACCAACTCCTCAGTAGCACAAAATAAGAGAATGAAATGTGGGCTGTTAAATATCAGGTCTCTGTCCTCTAAAGCTGTTCTAGTGATGTTACTTTGAGGAAACAATCTTCAAGATGCACCACTCTGTGATCTGCAGGTACAGGAAGTCATTGACTTTGACTCCAGGTAATACTTGGTCAGGAGGGACTAACCTCAGTGCATTAAGTGTACAAACACTGTCTGTACTGTTCCCCGCTGTTCTCACTACACAGCAGGCTCTGGAGAGGAGATGTGTGACCATGCTCAAATCAAGAACTTCATGAAACAGCTCCAGTTAGGAATGAAGTCAATGCTTTTTGTGACTTGTTTAGAAATCAAGATAAGACAAAATATTGCTACGCTGTGAGCAGGGTTTGAACCTGCGCGGGGAAACCCCATTGGATTTCAAGTCCAACACCTTAACCACTCGGCCATCACAGCTTAGAAACCCAACTGTCTAACTGCCAGACCGTAACAACTCAGCAAATTGCGTTCATTCAGTAGGCCTACTTTTAATTACTACGGCCATATTGTGTGACTTTCATGCACACGTTTTTACAGGTTTGCAACAGCTGTGGTGGTGTTCTGTAAGGTGTTGGACTTCAATCCAATGAGGTATGCCTGTGCAGGTTCAAACCCTGCTCACAGTGTGGAAAGGTTAAAGTTGAAACATTTGAGAGATTAGAGCGAATCCAATAACAATGGGCATGTTGTCAGTGCTTTGTCTTGTAAGCATTGAACATTTTTGATGAAATCAAAATAAAGGACTATATCTACCTTGCACTTCAAAAGTATGAGCTGGGAAGCCCAAGTGGTTATGGTAAGTATAGTTGTTTGATAGGCCCGGGTTTAGCTTTGCTAAAGGTGGAAACAAAAGATCCAATCAAACTTGGAAATTGTCATTGCAGCACCTTCAGAGGTTACAAACAAAGAAGACTCTATGACAGGAAGCGATTTACAATGCCAACAATCCTGATATCCCAGGCAGTTTCAGACCCGTTCACACTTTGAATCATGTGACTCTAACGACTGTTACTTCACAGCCAAGTGGACTAGCAACCACAGTCCTTTCATTATGGTCCTTTGGTTTGAGATGTATCTCTGGCAAAACTCTGCAGTTAAAGGTTTAGCGTTAAGCCATTGTTTTTCTACAAATTTTCAGAATTCACAATAAAATGATGCAGCAAATTAGCTATTTTACCTGAATCATGTTTGCAACAAGTGTTTTTGGCCCAGGGTTAAGTCTGCCAAAAGATGCGAGATTTACAATCTTCTGTACGTGTCAAAATTAATAAAATGCTGAATATCCTTTGGGTATAGAGAATGGATGTTTCGTAATCGTCTCTTTCAATGAACACTGCTTGAGATTTAATTTGATTGTGCTTTCTGGCTCTCTCACAAAGTGTGATTACCAAGTGGACTAAATTTTCAATTGATCCTCCTTTAAACCCCGCTCCTTCATCTTGGAGTAAATCTAAGGGATGTAAAGAAAGATCTGTGAAGAGGAGCTGAGCCACCGCATGACCTAATTCCTTGTCAGAAGAGGAAACATTGAATAAACTGCTTTTTCTCAGCTCACAAAGGATCTGAGATAATGTAGACTACAGTTTACAAACTCAACATAAAAAGCAAAACCTTCCCTCTTACCCTTTTATCTTTCATCTCTGAGAAAAATGTGCTCTGACAATGCCACACTTGGAGCTTTGATCACCTCTCTGTAGGTGTGTGGGCGGGTTGAGAAAACAAATAGCTGACAGCACATTCAAGTGAGCACCTAACACCTAAACATGTGCACATTGTGTTCACACAAACACATGCCATACACCCACAAGTACACAGACAATCACAACTGGGATTAACAGACCAAAGTGAATAAAAATAACTAGTTGCTTGCAAATTGCAAACACACTGCACACACAGCAGACTATTCTTCCTAGGAATTATGTTTGTTTTGGACAACGCTGCCGCACAATTCAGATACAATGGGGGGAAAATACTTATAAAGCCCCTACATGTACATTTTTACATGATTATTGAATATTACGAGTAAATCCAATAGCAAAAGCTTTTATTTGTAGAAAAATTACAATCTGAGCAGTCTATGTGCGGTTTTATGTCGGATGGGGTGAATTGCTAGGAGTCAAAAGTCTGAAATTCTTCAAATGTGATGGCTTTCATTGCTTTAACCATGACCTTGGTCCTTGCCTACCTTAACCTAAGTAATTTCCAACATTGTTCAAACCCTGAGAAATCTGTAATTTTGTTCACCTAACACCACGTTTCTTACTTGCTTATGTCTGCATCCCATGTGACATAATTAGGGACCGAGCCAGCGACCGCTGGAGGTCCCTTCTTCTTACCTATTATTTTTAGCCCCCTTTGACTGCATTTTTGCCCCCCTGAACATATACGAAAACTCAATTTTATTTGGCAAAGTTGTCAGGCATGGTGAAAATGGGGATATTCTATGTGTCGCTTTCAGGTTGGCCACTAGGTGGCGCTACTATCATAAAAAATGTGTTTAGGCTTATAACCTCTGCATAGTTTCTCGCAAATTCAAAAACCTCATATCCACGGTGAATGGAGCTGAATCTCCCCATGTAAGCCCCGCTCACTTCCGCCTAGAACTTTTCCGTGTTCCTCCCATGCGCTTTGTCCGATTCGCACAACATTTTTCATGTAGCATGTGGCGACCGTCCTAATAAAAAAGAAATTCAAAGAATTATATGAGATATAAAAAACCCAGCACGATATAAAATTAGCACTTCCTCTGGATTTTTTGTCAGAAAAGGAAGTGGACCATTTCTCCACATTGGTATGTCCGATTGACACCAAACTTGGGTCCATAGTTACTCATGTCTTTCTTAGGCATCATGCACAATTTCAGGTCATCGCCACAAGGTGGCGCTCTTTAAAATGAAGAAGTTTATATCTCTGCAACGGCACGTGTGATTAAAATGAAACTTGGTACGATGATTGCCCATGGCTACCTGAGGCTCACTTAAAAAGGACAAAAAAATCACGCCACCGGATGGCGCTCTGGTGGCATGGTAAATCACTGTGCGGAGACCGTAATAGTTACGAATATGAAATTCACAGGGTCCGTGTAGAGTGGTGCCTGAAGCTCATAAACCAAAAATTGTGTTTGTAGTGTGTAGCGCCCCCTACAGGATAAAAAAACAGCAGCCCCAGTGACACGTTTCACCGATATGTACGAAACTCGGTAGGCACGTGTAACATGCCGGGACGTACAAAAAAGCCTCTTGGACCTATACCCCAAACCCCACGGGAAGTCAGCCATCTTGATTTTCATTTTCACTTTCGGCAAACGAACTCCTCCTAGGGAATTTATCGGATCTACTTCAAAATTTGTCAGTACAGTCAAAAAATGGTGCTGATTCAAAGTTGTGCTATTTGTGACTGTATGTTAAAGGGCATGTCCGTGGCGTGCCCTCAAAGTTGGCCAGGTTGAATTGAATGTCAAACTATGATGCCATTTCCGGCATTTAAGGTTTTAACTAACTGCTCCTACAGATTTTATCAGATTGACTTCAAATTTGATCACTGCAATCTAGAAACATTGGTTATCAAAAGTTGTGCTATTTGTGACTGTACCTTTAACAGCGTGCCCGTGACGACGTGTCGAATTCCACCGATTGGCCATCAAACAGATAGTACTCATATCTTCAATGTACAGTCCCACCCTGAACACGTCCTCATAACTTCAACCTACATGATCCAATCTCAATGAAACTTCACACGTTTGATAACAGCCTCACCCTGAACACATCTACATGACAATATTCAGACATTGTGATCGTGCCACCTACTGGTAACAGGAAGTAAACGGTGTGTGGCGATTTTGAGCTGATTTACGTGAAATTTTCATGTTGTGGTCCACACGTGTTACGATGGCACGTGACGCGGCCGCAGCACGCCCCGAGTTGCGTGGAGTGCGTGGTCCTGCCCAACGCTGCTTGCAGCTTTAATTTATATGCTGATTCAGCTGTGATAGAGAAGCAGTGAGACTTGACAGAAGTGGGAATGAATGAGGTCTAACAGCAAATCAAGGCAGACAACAACCATTGTTTAAGAGTCGATGCTTGAGATCAGAAGAATCTGATTGTTGTGGCACAGAAAATATGTTTGTATATACTTGTTTCTGGTCATAACCAGATCAGTGATTACTGTCAGTATAGTTACTGGGCGCAGCTGTGATGGCTGAGTGGTTAAGGCATTGGGACTTGAAATCCAATGGGTTTTCCTCTTGCAGGTTCAAATCCTGCTCACAGCGAAGAAACTATCTGTGAACACACCCTTTGTGGCATGTGGAGGATATGCTGAGAAAGTGATAATGAATCTGAAGGAGACTGAAGATTTAGTTAATTTATTTCAACACAGTCTGGTTGTTCAAAACACGGAATTAACTACTTCAAACTTCATTAAAACAAATACTCATGGACTTACTGATACGATGGATTATTTAACAGTAACTTAACTAATTAACTGGCTACAAGCTCCTCTTGCTCCGTTTCATACCTCTCCTGGCGCTGAGTCAGAGTCCTGGTTGGAACCGCTGGAAATTCAGCCGGCCTCTATCAAAGCTGAGAACTGCTGGGTCCTCCAGCTCCTACACTAGTAGTGTTTAAACTCCCTGTTCTTTGAGCTCCAAGTCCAGATACAGACAGTTAATGGGACCAGTGGCAGCAGCTAGTACAGTTAACATATGCGTATATCACCGGTAAGCGACCCAGTGTGTTACAAGAGAAAACAACTATCCAACTAATAAAAACTGTGTTGGCTAAGACTCAAACGATTAAGTCGACCATTAGTGGGCAGCCCTATTGTTTTCATTATTTTATAATTGCCTAAAAATAAGAATTGGTGTTTTCATTACTGTAGAATAATGTTTTTATGTACAGCGGTAGTGATTCCTCCATGTTGAACAGTCATGTTTCTATAGTAGCCCAGAACAGACAAACCAAACACTGAAAACGGGGGTCAGTATTCAGTTGGTTGCAATCTACAAGTTCACACTGATTGTTACAATAAAATAAAATAAACCTTTTTTAGACAAAACCACTAATCCAATAATCAATAGCACAAATATCTGTTAATTGCATCCCCAAAGCAGGTTAATATGTTTTGTTACAATTGTCGTGTAAATGGTTAATTAGCCCATAACTCATAATCAATATTAGACTAAACCTGCCTTTTACAAACATGTATTTAATGTGAAGGTGTTTTTTCAGGATTCCTGAAGGATGGAAGTCACAAAAAAAATTTAAAATTACACTTTAGATAAAACGAAAACTAACTAAAACAAAACTGTTCACTAAAACTAACTAAAATGAAGTAGAAATTTACAAGAAATGTCTTCAGTTTGTTCAAATATGTCAACACAACAAGCATCAGGAAGCATTGGTGCATGTTTTAACTAAAACTGGATGTCTACATGACTGTGAGTCAGTGTGTTTGTGTTGTTAATGCTTATTCTGACAAATAACCTCATTTTTATAACAAAAACACTAAAACTATCCAAGAATTTAATGAAATCTAAACTAAAACTAAAAATGTTTAAACAAAACTAAACTGAAGAGGGGAAACCCACTCAAGAAACTAACTGAAACTAAACTGAATTCAGAACAAAATATAAAAAAATGTATAATTCTGTGCTGAACCACCACATAGAGAATCACATCCACCTGTAAATGTTTTCCACTGTGAGGTACAACCAGAAAAAAGTCAATTATCTCTAAAATCAAAACCTTCACTATTTTATCAACGTTATCTAAACTTCAACTTTTTTCCAAACCACATCTGCATGTGTGCACCATTTTGCATACAGCTCTTATTTATCATCTATAATTTAATTGTTGCACTTCACCGTTAGGGATTTTTTACTGCAGATCCATGTCAAATATAATTTTCTTTCCCGCGCAGTGAGAACAGACTACAAAGCTTTTCTAAGTCTAAATTTAGTTCAGTGCAGCAACTCATCAAATCAAACTCCAGCAACAAAGCCAGCCAAAGCTTTAATGTCTGCTTTCAAACCATCAGACTGATGATCATTATTTGGAAAAGAGTGATGAAATTATTGGCTGAAACATATGGTAATGTGCAATGAAATTGCAATGAGAGATAATAACAATGACAGCAATAATCTATGGCAGGCTGTTGACTGCTGACAATGGCCTCGTTTCAACCTTTAATACCCCCCGCCTGCTGCTTTACTGTCACTTTATCAGTTTGAAATATTAGGTTTCATTTGTCTCTAATTGTGGACTGTATCTGTTGTTGGTGAAACATTGTTTTATTTTTAATTTTGTTTATGCAACCGAGTTCGGGGTAAAAGCTATGAGCGGTTAAATTTTATCTGTCACCAATAAAATGTGGCTTCCACTCATCGCGGCTAGTGGAAGAAGGATTGATTTAATTTGTAGAAGAAACTACTCACGGATGAGCGGCTCGTGCTCGTGACAGTGCAGGATGTTAACGTTAACGGCCGTCCTCCCTGGCTTAGACGTAACGTTCGCTAGCCCACCTGGCACCACGGAGAGAGCGTGGTGAGGTTCGATAGAGAAAAAATAGTTCTTACATAAAACTCCTCACAACAAGGTTTGTGGATTATGTGGAGTAACCTGGGTCATGATTTCTCTCGTTTATTTTTGGTGCTTTGAGTACCTTTAAGCTAAGTATGATCTGGTTCCATTATATTATATGAGGTAAATCTCTATGGCTGATATCTCCAAAACTCACACCAAAAAAATCTACATTGGTAAAAAGCACTACAAGTAAGAGGTTCAAAACACAACTTCCACCTTCAGAAAAAAAATATTCGTAGACTTAACACGATTTATAACTTATCTATAACAATTACTTACAAATTAACTCTATACGAACTCACTCCTACTCCCTATTAATGCCTCTTCTGTCCCCCAATCTGAACTCGACCTTGTCCTTCGTCCTCCCCAGATTCAGAGTCCTGGTCGTAGCCGCTGTAAATCAGCTGGCCTCAGTCAGTCTCTGATGAAATCTGTTCTCTCTTGTTTTTCAAATGCACTGTTTTCATTCTCGTTCTCATTATTTACCATTGGGGAAGGACAAGTTACGTAAATGCATTCTTATTTTACTAAAGCTCGTATGAGAATCCCCCCACTGACTTTCACTGTATAACAAATCAACATTATATGAAGTAAAGGAAACTGCCCTTTTTCATTTTTTATGTGTGTGTTTAATATTTTGATCTCTCAATGTGATAGCTTAGGATGAAACAAATGTAATTTTGTTAAAAAACTGAATGAAAATAGATTTTTTTTTCAAAACGCAGTTAATATCCTAACAGATAAGCATGTTGTCTGTCTGGTAGATTCAAACACCACTGGTTTTATCCCCCAGAGAACCAGGATATATGTGTGTGGAAAGAAGGAAAGAGTTGCACTTACCCCTCCTTTGTTATTACCCCCACTGAACTGCCCTTGAGCAAGGCTCTTTACCCCCTGACTGCACCAGTAAAGCCAGTGGTGTCTGGTGGGTATTCAGCAATAATACTGCAGTTTACACACAAATGTAACTTGCGTATTTAACATTTCATGCCACTTTCTTTACATTAATCTGACAGCTTTAGTTACTTTACGGATTAAGACTTTACACTTAAAGAGTTATAAAATATGATGCGCTGTTGTTTATGGATTTAAATAATGTGCTTTGGTGTGTTGGCTTCAAATGTGTAGTTGTCTGTGCCCAGTTGGCGAACTACAAGTGTGTGTTTTACCCCAGCAAACTTTGTGGGTTAAAAAGTGAAACCTTAAAGACTAAATATCCGGGGAAAAAATTCTCTTAAGTGTAAAAAAAGGGCATAAAAGAGTCTAACGTAACTGCCTGAAGCCTGAAAAATCTATAGTTCCTTTTGTGAAGTGAAAAAGATGTCCACATATTTGTGTCTCTCGATATATATCTTTACATTCCTAGTGGATGTAACTCTAAAAGTCCAAACCACTAATTAAGATTGTGGCTGGCTCTCACAGATTACTTAATGACGCAAAATCAGCAAGAAGGAGGATCTACGTGTTGAGTTTTATCATCTCACAGGAGAAACAATAAAAGTAAAATGCAGAAAATGTACACATTTCTCCTTATAGTGTAACTATTTTACATATTCAGCTCCGTTGGGGATCAAAACTCAAACCTTGGCAGCATTTAGCCGCACTTCCCTTCACACTGGGCTGGAGAGGAAATGGGACCCCTTAACTCTCGCAGAGTTAGTGCCACACTTTACCCGCTGAGCATCCCTGCAATTAAGTTAAATGGCCACACAAACCATATTGCTAATGTTTTCATGAAGCCAGAGCCCCAGAGAAGTGTGGAGATTGCAGAATCCATCAGTGAAATTGCACACTGACATGCCCCACTAAGTTTGACTGCACGATGGAGCTCACTTATCCAAAAATGCATCCAATACACAGATATGTCCACAAAACGCGTGACACGTCATCAAAAACCTGACAGACCCATCACAGACAGCAGCTGTTTGTTCCATGTTGGAGAATCATAATCCTCACTGAAAGCGGGACGATCGAATGTTTTCTCCGACCAGATTTCACAGCCAGGAAACGACAGTTTGTTAATTTGACTGAAAAAAGCCGGCAGAAGGGAGGATTTTACAGCCAAATGGCAATTTGTTTTTACTGAAAGCCCGGCAATGACTTCATCCTGTCGTCTGCACACAGAGAACAATCCTTATTAACACAATAATTTCATAATTTGCTTGATGGACTTTGTCCAGTAATTCCCAACAGGGAGAGAGTTTAGTTTCCATGTTACAAAGAAGCTAAAATAATTTCAATTTCAACCCAAATCAGCAAAAGATTTAATTAATTTCAGTGTAGAATTAGGACCTGATTGACATTTTAAACATAAATGTTGTTGAAGCAGCAGTTAGGTTTAACTTAACGACTAGAAAGCTTTATTTTCTACCCAATTTTACCTTTTATGTTTAGCTTAGCATTACGCTACAAGGGTTGTTCTGTTGTATGAAGCTTCAGGAGTTCAGGTTTGGTTCTTTTTCTAATGTAATATCCAATTATCTCATATTTTATGTTATATTTTACAAGTAGACGCACATTACTCAGTGTTATATTCAGAGTAAACAGAGACACTTGAGAAAAAGATGCCACCTTCTGTTTCTAAAAATGACATCTGGCATTAAAGTACAGCTCATTGTCCGATACAGTGGAAGCATTAGCTAAGTGCATTCTGGCCCTATAAAATATAAAATAGTGGGATTTGAGGAACTAAACTGAGTGATGATTTTCTGGTAGCATTTATTTTTCATAAAAAAAAAAAGCCAATGGGTCATTAATGAAAGTGGAATAGGCTTAGCGCACTTTGAATAACCATTGGATTTAATACAAAAAGCCATCATGGAGTAATCTGCAGCGTTTACTGAGGATTAGCATGTGGAGAACAATGCCAGTTTAATCCTAAAAAGGCCCAACTGTTGCCCAGACGACCGTAATTATGATTACAAGAGCACACACCATGATGAGCCATTTCCTTTGTGCACATACGTGTGTGTGATGGAGAGTAAATAGACAGTGAACGTACAGTGTTTTCAGCTTTCCACCAGTTGAGCCTCTGAATGTGAAATGTTAGCAGATATAAATCCACACTCACACTATTGTAAGATCAAAAATGGGATTTTATCGTTTATCTCTGCAGCAAAGACGATGCACGTCAACTTTCTGTCACACTTCTACACATTAAGTCCTCATTCGAATGTTGGAGTGCTTTTATTTTGTAGTTTTTGGATGTAAATTGTGTTTCTTTTACTGCTTCTTTCCAGTTTTAGCCACGTTAGCAGAGGCGTTAAATATCTTGGCAACTATTGGATGAACTGCCACGAAATTAACTACTAATAATAACTTCCATTCATTCAAAACTCTTATTTTTTTGATTCATTTTGTACTTTTACTTTGAGTTTAGTGCTAATTAGCAAATTTTAACATGCTAAACTAAGAGGATGAACATGATAAACATTATACTGGCATGTTAAGCTGCTGATGTTAGCATTTAGCTTAAAACACGGCTTCATCTAAGAGCTGCATGATCGAGTTTCTCCTTTTCTAAGCATAAACAGCGTACGTAGATTAGCCTAGCACGTAGCATATCCAAGTACAGGAGAGGAGGAAGATGACCGAGGTTGGTTCAACTGTAATTTGAGCTGTCCAAAAAGGGGCGGGGCCTATGAAGGGGCCAATTTCATAATGACATTGATCATATTTAGCTGATATATTTGATTGCAATTAATAAGATTAGATTTTTAAGACATATATGAAAAATATCCGTAATTTTCACCCAAATTGTGGTTAAACATAATTTTAATAAATTATTTAAATTGAAAATTATTGTTATTTGACGTTTTGTCCTCTGGGGATTCAGTCTACCATTACAAATGTGATTATTTGGCTCACTATGGGGTAATTTCTGCCTCTAAAGCACCCGTATACATGTGCATGAAACACCAATATAGTGATTTTATCATCCCAAGTTTGTTTGTTACCATGTTTTTTAACTCATTTGGGATACAGAGGACATGTAGCTCTTCCTGAACACAGTTATTGTAAGTTATTGTATTGAATGCAATGTAATATAATCCATATATCATTAAAACTGTAATCTGTTATAGGTTAATCATACTTTAATTTAAAAAAAAAAAGCCATAAAGTAAACAAATAAAGTCTCTTAAGAAAACACAGCTGATAAAAACAAGACGAGGAACCTGTAGATAATTTTAAAGATGCCACAATAAAGTCGCTGTAAACATAAACCATTGATGTTAATGTAAATATATAATCAATAAACAGTCACATAAACTTCACCAAACAACGCCAGCTGCACTAACCTTTGCCTTTACACCTCCTCCTCCTCTTCCTCTTGGACTTTCCTTTCATATCACGGTCTGACCTCTCCATGTTCCTGCAGCACGTCCCATGTACCTGTGCCATTTCAAAGGTGGGGAGGAGGGAGATTTTCTTCTTATTCTTTTTCCTCCCTAGTTTTATCCTCTGCTGCTTCTTCTCTTTCTTCTTGTCTGAAAAGCAGCAAAAAAAAAAACAACCCAAAACCAAGAAATGCTGAGAGAAGATTGAGAGTGCAGCTCTGCAGCGGGGAGCCCAACACTGTGGCTGACTTCCCCCCCCTGCTGCCGGCTTTAGGAGGCAGGCGGCTGCTCAGGCTGTGACATCATGATGAGGAGGATGAGAGGAAGAGCTTTGGTTCGTGATTCAGCATCTGTAGTTATTAAACATCTAAATAATATGCCACGTTGAATTCATTCAGCTGGTGCTTTTTATTCACTGCGATGTAAATATGCAGTAGACTGTAATATGAGAGTATGTTCTCCACTAACGAGTAGTGTAACTAATTAAAAATAACTCCTTACAACCTTAATTTTTACTGTTTTCACTTCAGTCACATCCCTAAATTAATTTATGTAGCTGGCTTACATTCAGTGGTTGGTTTCAGTGGTGAAAGTAACTAATTACAACTACTCACATTACTGTAATTAAGTTGATAGATCGCCCCCGAGAATCAGCCCCCAAGACACGTAAGACCGACATGTATGAAAATTGGTACACATGTGTATCATGATCAAAGAAGCAAAAAAGCCTCTTGGACCCATACCCCAAACCCAACAGGAAGTCAGCCATTTTGAATTTAGTGGTCATATTTGGCGATTTTTTTTTTTTTGCTTTGTATTTGAACGAACTCCTCCGAGGTAATTCTGATCGACTTCAAATTTGGTGAGTGAAATCTCAAGACGTTAACAGTTAAAAGTTGTGCCATCTGTGACTGTACATTGAACGACCTGCCTGTGGTGTGGCGTCGGAGTTTGACAATTCGCCATGAAACAGGAAGTTGTCATAACTTCAGCGTACACGGTCCAATCTTCACCAAACTTCACCCGTTTGATAAGAGTCTGAACACGTCTATAGGACAATATTCAGTCATAGTGATCCCGCCATCTCGAGTGCGAGGGGCTCGATCATCGCTGCTTGCAGCTTTATTTCAATTATATGTTTTTGATTAATGAGCCACTGGTCAGGAAACATGTAATCAAACTACAGTTTTAATCTACAGTTTGACTGTTTTTAGGCAGGTGATGTCCATAAGTTGGCCACCAATGTGTCCTCCTGAACGAAGTAGAAGGACATGATTTCATTTATTATCCACATTGTCAACAAGAAAACAACAACATATAACTGTAACCCCACATTTAATTGGTACTAACTTCTTTCTCACTCAAATGTTTAATGCAGAATGCAAAGAGTCTCTTCAGGCAACACCAAATCTATAGTGCCTGGACCAAAACATGGCAAATCACTGGTTAAGTCCTATAATATCTAAATAATAAACAGATTCTACTTCTTTCATTACATTTAGTAGCAGTTATAACTATGATATGAACTAAAAAAATAAACCATTCTGGAAAATGCAGCATTATCCACACATAAATAAACATATCATATGTAGGAGTTATAAATACTGCATGCATCCTGTAATATGCTACATTTACACACACGTGTTAAACATTAAAGCACTGAAATGTGGGTTAGAAAGATGCTCCTGCTGTGTCGTTTCTGCAGCAGCAGGAGACAAACTGAGCTTCTGCAGCACTTTTATCTTCTTTGTCTCCTGCTTGATCTGCTGGCTGCGAAATAAAATTAAAACAAAGCAGTAAAATAAACAACAATTGTCGTATGTATTTCCTTTTATGTACAAATTTACTTTGTTATAATTTAATGAAAAACTGACAGTTATTTAGTGTTCAGTCTTAATTAACTGAGTGGAGTTCTTCTCATAATTATCTTATCTTGGTATGTATTTCTGTGTTGCCTAACCTCTCTTCTTCTTTTTTCAATTTGAATGTGAAAATTAAAAAAAATGTCCAATCATAGCTGATTTGAAACAATTCAATTATTAAAAGCACATAAAATAAGATAATTGTCCCATTAACTGTGTTTTTCATTTAATTATGACACAATGAATACATACATAGAGAAAATATTAAAATACTAAAAAAACTAACAATGTGTTTTGTATTTCACTTTATTTCTCTGTTTGATTTGTTTTTTATTTTGGCACTTTAAATCTTCCATAGAGGTACTTCATATTCATATTCACAGACTCGGTCTATAAGTCTGATTTACTGAGGCATAAAAAAAGCTGATCTATGTAAAGTGAAAATAAAACAGCAAAGTAGGATAAAGTTAATGAGTCGAAGTCAGTTGAAGAAGTTTTTTGCTAAATCAACCTCTTCATCCAGCTCTCTCGCCGGTGGGTCCAACAGTACCGACCACTCTCTCTAGTTGAGATCCCGAAGTTTCCAAATGTAGCTGAAATGTAGGAAAATGTGTATAAAACTATACAAGAAAGAGGTCAGTATGATCAATACACAGATAATCATTACCTAATGATTAATTAATTGGATCTCCCTGTCTGTTCTTCAGTAATTTATCATTATCTATCATATATTCCTCCATTAGGAATTATTAGAGAACAGTTCAGCAGTTATCAAGTACCTGAGTCGTTCCTCACTTGTTTATATATTAAGTATCATGAACTAATCATTAGATACTCTAATTTAAATATTAGTTACTCATTAATTAATTGATCACTGGCAGGTTCCTCATTTGTTCCCCGGTAACTACTTTAAAAGTTCTGTGTCCCTTTTTGTGCCAATTATACACGAGAATATTCAGCGCCTTCACATCGATGAAGAGCTGATACAGATTATATAGCGTACGTGACGCTGTCAGCAGTGCGGAATAAGATGCTTTTAACAACCTTAAAGAGGGAAAAACTGGATTTTAATTGGCGAAAACATAAATAATGAACCACAGACCCATTCGTATGTCAGGTCTTCTGCTCCAGGTTGAACTGTTCACTTCACTATTTTGCATCATAATGCCACTTTTGCATAATCTTCTCCACTTCACCTTTACTGCCAATTAACAGCCCCCGTTTAATCCCTGCCAATCACCTTTTTCTCAAACTGATAATCTGACTGCTTTACATCCGAACTAAGATCCGAATCTGTTTCGCTCCCCGACACCATTTTATTGCCGCTATCACCGCATTTCATCACTTCACCCCTCCTCTCTCTCCGGCCTGTGCAGTGTTTTCACTCCTCTTGGTTTTGCAGGTTTCCAGTGACTGACTCCCTCTTCAGAGGATTAGCGAGATGCTGCTGCGCCTTCTTTTGTTTATCTCCAGGTGTGCGCTGAAGGTGGTGTGCCGTATGGATCGTGCCGAGCCTCTGGGATTCACATTCCTTGTAGTATTTCACCTCACTGATTCCCAAGAGCTCCACTGCTGCGTTCTCGTGTTTTATCTTTGAACTGTCTTGCTTTTTAACTACACTGTGCAGCACCTTTAATCTACCTTTGTGTGTGAAACCTGCTTTATAAATAAAACTGCCTTGCCTCGTAGTTTCTTATGAAGTGCCTTCAGTCAACCTTGGGTTGTAAGGAAATCATTGATTTGACTTTTGATTTGATTTGACTTTTGATTTGACAAACTACTGTTTCATAACGAACTTTATTCTCTACTGACCCATTTTTGGGGCGAGCTAAACATGCAAGAGTAATAATAATGAGAATACGTTTTATTTTTAGAGCTTTTCATGATACTCAAAGGCTCTTCACTTGGAAGGAGTGTGGTGGGTGGAGCCGGTCAGTGAGGTAGGAGTGGGGGGGCCTGGATATGGAGGGCTTTGTTGTGGAAGACAGGGGTGATGTGGTCTTGGGAACGGGTTAATTCTTATTTAACACGTAATTTGAAATGTATTTCATAAATGTAAAAGCAACAAGTGGTGGCTTTGCTGTGAGTTTTATGCTGAACTGATGTCCTGTTGTTTTGTCATTGTTAACCCGTTTCCACTCTCAATACTAAGCTAATATGCTGGATAACTGACAATCTTCTCACTCTGCAAAATAACTGTCCAAACACTGAAAAGAAAAGGTTTTATTATAATTATTGATATGCCACAGCTTCATCAGGTTTATGTTGGATCTCTGCTCTAATTAGCTGCCTTACTCCTCAACACTGTGAAAGCTTTACCCTGAAGGCTGATAACACCAGAGGCAAACTGATGGATGTGGTTCCCACGATTTAATACCCTTAAAGCATCCATTAATCTTCCAAAACTTTTTTTAAAGCATAATTTTATTTGTCTAAAACCAAACTTTTCTGGAGTTTCAAGGCTCCTGGGACCTCCGGGAAATAAAGAAAGGACACAAACCACCGCCCCCGCCTGAAAACAGTGTACATGCACGACTGCATTTGATGCCAAGTGGATGAAGGTGAGCTAGAAATAACATTACGGAGCGTGCACGCAGACGCTCCGGAGAACAACCTGCAGAGAAGTGTGCAGCTCTCTGATGTGAGCATCCATGTGATAGAAAACAAAATATTAGGGGTAAAAATAATAACATGTGTATCATCTCCTCCTGCTGTGTCCAGACATCCAAACTGTTAAAGGTGAGATAAAGTGGATGCGAGACTTTTAGCATCACGCAGACAAAACAGAGGAGAGGCTATTATTGCGTCTGATGAAACAACAGATAGATTGTACTGTATTTCAGCCTGTGGCTAAGATCCCACAGGGCACGGAGAATGAAGTGCTCTTCAAAATGAGCTCAACATCCCAGCAAATAGGACACAGGAGCTTCCCCGTGCACTCCTGAGGCCAAACATTATACTGTACATTAGATCCATCTCACTGTTCCTCTGCAAGGAGCCGCTGCTGCAGCAGCCTGCAGGCTCTCGCCGGCTTCTTCAGTCAGATTTGGCTGCATGTACGGGACAAATGAAGGTGTGTTGTTGAGTCATCTGGACATTTGTACAGAATTACCACATTTATGATTTTCTCTCTGTCTCTTTAACTCTCTCTTCTCCTCAGTCTTCACTTCCTTTGCCTGGTTTTGAGACATATGTGTGTTTTTATTGGACTGTTTCCTGTTTGAATAATAACAACATTTTAGTTTTTTTAATTAAATCCACTATTTTTATTTCTATATCCTCTTTCAAATGATTTTTTTATTCATATAAAATTAGACATTAGGAGGTTTGTGCCGTGTTGCATCCAATTGCTGTCAGCATCTGTGTCTTTTTTTG